TGTCCAATGTAAACCTGCTCTGGCACAACTTGAGGCCATTTCCCCTCATCCCATCACTCGTTCCCTGCGAGCAGAGACCAACCCCCCTGGCTTCCCCCTCCTGTCAGGCAGTTGTAGGGAGCGATAAGGGCTCCCCTCAGCCTCCTCTTCTCCAGGCTGAACACCCCCAGGTCCCCCAGCTGCTCCTTATCAGCCTTGGGCTCCAGACCCCACACCAGCTTTGTTGCCCTTCTCTGGTGAGGAGAATACGCTGAGCCTCGGTGTGGCAATGAAGGCACGGATCCCGATTCTGCTTGCACTTGTGCATGAACTCAGGGTCCGTGCCTTCATTGCCACACCTCAGAGGTCTTCTCTGTCTGTAGGACTGAACGAACTGCCCAGCGAGGTTGAGAAGGCTGAGCTGCATGAGGAGTGTGGGAAGGTACTGGAGCTGGCACTGAGCTTCCCAAGCACCCAGCCTGAGCACGGTGCTGCCAACCCAGCCCCACCACCAACCGTCCCCAGAAACAGCCCTGCCACAGCCAGCGCCTGGGGACATGACCATTCCCATTTGGGAACTCCCAGGAAAATTAAGACCTCTCCTTCCTGACGTTCTAGGTGATGGCAGGTATTCACAGGGGACGGCAGCTCAAGGCAATGCTAGTGGAGAAGGAAACACAGAAGCATGTTAAAAGAACCTAACACAGAATGTTAGTTACGTCAATGTCTTTGGAGACCAAAGGAATTGGATTTGAGAAAATATTTTATATAAGTACCAAAAAAGTTAGCTTGAGAAATCTTGGCTTTCAGCTGGTTGGCCTCATCTTAAATACACGCCTCAGTCACGTCCTGAACGCTACAGATATTGAAGGAGGCTGTAATGGGAAATGTTAATCAGTCCTCACAGCAAATCCGACCGTTCTGACGATGTGCAGGAGACCATCCAGCCCCCTTGGCCCAGCCCTGGGGTGGTCGCACAGGTTGGCTCCAGGGCTCGGGCGGGAGGAACTGCCTCAGCCCGGTGATTTAATGCCGCTGTTATTGCTGTGCTAATAACTACTGAACTGCCAGTGCCACAAAGCAAAGCAACAAGGGGAGTAATTACCTGCAACGATCCTACACAATGTTCCAGGTTTGAACCAAACCTAAAACTTTCTCCAGTCTCTGTGAGAGTTTGTTTTATTTTTGTTTCCTGATCCCACAAAGCCAGTTCCTGGAATCGGTTTGAGGAAGCATGTGAACCCCAAGTTCCCCCTCAGGATGTTGACGCAGGGTTTGTGCCTTCTCCTCTCACGCGTGCAGTGCCACCACGCCGGCAGCTCACCCGCCCACCTGTGTTTTGGAGGCAGGGATGTGCCAGGAATAAGGTTTTTGCCCATCTGGAGCAGCTGCTCCACTGCACAGCACAACTGGCAGCAAAGGGCTTTTAGCAGAATTATTAATCAACAGGTATTAGATCTGGGGCTCCGTGGAGCTGCATGCCCCATGATGCTGCTGAATGCCACAACTAGTGCCTTGAGGCATCAAATAAAGGTGAGGAAAGAGGAGACATCACCTCATAGTTTAAGCAGAGGACTAAGTTGTAAGTTGGGTCTCATTTCCAGCTCTGCTCCTGCTCAGCTGAGAGATCTCTAGGGACTGAAAGGTCTCAAATCCCGATGAAATGCAGAGAGAACCAAGGATGATGCTGTCCCACAAGTACCCATCCCTTCAGCACTGAATTTATTAGATGTAAAGACTCATCTTTAGGTACTTGTGAGGCATTTTTCTGTACTGCTTTCAGTGTCTTTCTGAAAACCTCTGGGAGCTTTTATCATGGTGAAATTGTGCTTGGAAGCGGAGCGCCCTGTTGGGCATGAGCCCAGGCAGGAGTGCACACTGCGCCAGGCCGAGCAGGCGGCTTCGGCCAAGGTGCGGCCATATCCCGGGGACAGGGGAGGTCTTTGCCCTTGAGGGGATGCCGTGAACACCTGCAGCTCCCAGCCAGTCCATCCGCTTGCTGGAGGACAGGATTTACAGGACAGAGAATCCCAAATCCTCTGTAAAGAGGAAGGAGGAAGGAGAATAGGAGGTGAAGGGCAGATATTTGGGGAAAGATCCCCCCTTTTCCCCCCATTTGAAATAAATATTGTTTTCCAAGTGCTCATGAAGAGCAGGCACTAATGATTGCATTTCTGAGGCCTCAGCTGTCTGTGACAGTCTGCATCTGGAGAACCCTCAGCATCCCTACAATACGGCGGCCGCCTGATGGACCACTGGAAGCCTGTCTGTGTTAGTCAGGCCAGAGCAGCGGAATATCCAAACCCTGGAATTATGTGAGCAAATGCACATGCCAGCAGTCCCTCTCCTTCCCACAAACACGTGCAATGAGATTAAATCTTATCATTACTCATTTATCTCCTGTTATGTGCTGCTTCACAACTAACTGCAAGTGCCAGGCCGTAGCGGGGACTGGCTCCTGACCACCATGGTCCACAGACCTGGATGTTTCCCAGCTGTATCCATCACGGCCAGCACAACACAGGGAGCTGCCGGCGCTGACAGGTTCCCATCTGTTGAAATAACTGCGTGCCGGCCACAGTGAGCAGTACGCAGGAATAGGGTATTTATTCAGCTTGGAGAAGGGCCAGGGCAGATGGGAGCGACAGTGGGACTGGGGGGCAACTTCAGAGAGGGATAAGATATTGCAGCTCTGCTAAGGACACAGGGTAAAGCACCCAGAATGCTGCACCCATAACAACCAGGCTCTGTTCTTACCAGAGGACAGCGATGCTAGTTATTACGGATAATGGTAGTAGTGCCCTTTGCCTGACAGCCCCCTGAGCTTCGCAAAGCATCATCTGATGGATGCTGTCAGACTGGTCCTCACACGGAGGCAGGTGATGGGTATTTCTGTAATGCCTGCTGGAACGGCTGCGAGCGCGAGGGCTGTGGTGGCAGGCTCCTGGTGAGCGGCTGCAGGACGACACAGAGAGAGAAGCAGGGAAAATCAGGGTGTTGGGATGACTGAAGGGGGGATTTGTACAACTGCCTGACAGGAGGGGGGAGCCGGGGAGTTCGGTCTCTGCTCCCAGGTAATGAGTGATGGGACGAGGGGAAATGGCCTCAAGTTGTGCCAGGGCAGGTTTACGTTGGACATCAGAAAAAATTTCTTCACTGAAAGGGTTGTCAAGCACTGGAAGGGGCTGCCCAGGGAAGGAGCCGAGTCCCCATCCCTGGGAGTGTATAAAAGCCGGGCAGATGAGGTGCTTAGGGACAGGGTTTAGTGGTGGGATGGCAGGGTTAGGGGAACATTTGGGCTTGATGATCTTAAAGGGCTTTTCCAACCTAAATGATTCTATGGTTCTATGATTCTATGATTGCCTGGCTCCTGAAGAGGTGACTGCCAACTCAGTAAGTGAATACAGCCTAAATAGTATCATTAAAAAGATGTCATTTCTAAGGGGATTTTAAAGTGCATCTATTTTAAAAAAGGGGGAAAGCTGGAGCAAAGTGCAGCCTGGGGAGGTCTCCAAGGGCAGGGCCGGGACCTGCCGTGCCTCCCCAGCCTGGGCTGTAGGGCAGAAGTGTGAGGCTGGCCGGGGCACGGGGAGGGCCCGGTGCGGGCTGTCCACAGGACCCTAAGGAAAGCAAATGGAAAGAGAAGAGAGTATTTGTCCTTTATAACTGATCCAAAGGCGAATGAAATTTCACAGGAGGGAATGAAAAACTACGGGGCTTGTCCTCTGTGGAGTCAAATGGAGGCATAAGGTTTCCCAGAGAAAAGGGGAAAATCTGCCACAGCAAGCCAGAGACTGGGGACAGCCTGCTGCTCCCTGCGCTGAGGCAAAAGGCGTTTTATCCACCCAGGCTTGTACATCCCAGGCTTAGAAATTTGCTTGTGAAACCCTGAACTTGAATCACCTGACATCAGGATGATCCTTCACATTTTGGATATGTGCTTCAGTGTCTGGGATTAATGGGACACGTCTGCCTCTAACTGAAATAAAATCTAATTAAAAAGTGAGCTTTCCCCTTGTCCTTTCCTCCACGCCACAGGTTCGGGGACCCTTAGTACTTCATCTCTGCAAACACAATTGCTCTTTCGATTTGAAAATGCATTTTCTGACAGACTGCAGATACGTCAGGAGCAAGCACAGAGCTGGCAACAAATTCTGGCCTCTGCTGACCATCAAGGAGATGCTGGATCTCCCAGCCTGACCACTGGGACAGCTATCCCCACCTGACTGTCAGGAAGGTATGGGACCTCCCAGCCCAGGACTGGGTAAACCTTTCCCCAAGGGAGTAGCAGAAATGCGCTTGTTTGTGATGGGGCGGCTGCAGGAAAGTGAGGAGGTCACTACCTCATGTTTAATGACCCCAGAGAAGGGGCTCCTCTGCCCCAGCCCACAGGAAAGACTGTAGTTCTCAGTGGCATCAACCTGGTCCCATCCTCCTGAGGATGAGGAAGGAAGGACCCCTCATCCTCCACTCTCCTTGCCCAGGGGGCACGGTACAGCCCGCGTCTCGACTGGGGACCCAAAGCATCCACAGTACCAGGTCCTGGAGTGGACCCACTCGTTGTGGTGCTCTCAGCCCCTGCACCTCGTCCCGCCGGGGTCCCCAACCTGCCACCCCCATTCCCTGCCTGGGCTCCTTCCTCCTCCTTCCTCCCTTCTCCTCCTCCTCTTCGGCTCAGAGGTGCGCTAGGACCCCGCGGGCGCAGGCGAGGATGCGGGAGGGAGGCGG